CTCCGACCCTATAAAATATATATATTCTTGATCAGGATCACCTCCTGAGTTGATATGAGCATGTCCGTCTTTCTGTCCGTTTCTACGCGAACAAGTCTATCAGTTTTAAAGTTATCGCCTTGAAACTTTGCACACACCCTTCTTTCCTTTGCACACAGTATATAATCGGAACGGCCCGGATCGGCCGACTATATCCTATAGCTGCCATATAACTGATTGATCGGAAATGGTATAACTTTGACGTTTTTAAAGTTAGAAAGTTCAAATATGACACGAAAGCTATTTTCGGCAACACATTACGACATGCCAAATTTCATAAGGATCGGCCGACTATATCCTATAGCTGCCATATAACTGAACGATCGGAAATGACCCAACTTTCGTGTTTTTGAAGATAGAGAGGTGGAATTTAGTACAGCTTCTATTTTTGGTCAGTTAATCCGACCTACCAAATTTTATAACGACCGGCTGACTATATCTTATACCTTCCATATAACTGAACGATAGGAAATGGTTTGTTTTTGGTAGAAATACCAACTTTGGTATTTTTGAAGATAAAAGTTTGGGACTTTTTTTCGATTTTATATTATAATAAATTGGGATATATTTCCTAATCTTATAAGGATCGGCCAACTTTATCCGATGTTTGCGATATATATCCGGTTTAAACTGCAAGGGTATATCAACTTCGGTTCCTTTCTTGTTACTACTATTTCTTGTAGTAATAGTAGCAATAGTTATTAACTAATATTTGGTATTTTTTTTGACCATCTATGGTATTACTAGCTGAAAAAAGTGTTGTTAAACGAGGGCGCAAATGCAGCTGTTAATGCAGTTGCAATTTTTTTCTGAGCCGTCGGCACATTTTTTCTGAATATCGGATATGAATTTCTTTCCTAATCGCTAGGATAGAACTCCCTACCCACAAAGTGAGCATCACCCACCGACAGACGATCGATCAAATTTTGGCGAGCCGGACTTAAAAGTTCCGAGCTGCTGTGTGTGTGTGTAAGTTTAGTTGTGCCAGCGCGGTGCGCTTGTTTAATTATCGGAGTGGTTTTAGTTGCAGAGGACAGACTCTTTTGTTGACGAATTAATATTGAGGACTATTGCCCATTATTGGCCCAGGTCGGGCCAAAATATTCTACGAGAGTATTCTACAAGTCGTGTACAACCTTACTGTGAGCAAGCTCACCACGGAACGTTGGCCAAGAGGGGACGTTCTCCCGGACAGCCTTTGCTGGGGCATATCGTTAGGTAGTGCCCCAGGCGGAAGAGTGCTGGGAATTTGTACACGACTGGCAGACCTCAACTAAATAATGTGTATATAGACCCAAACTTCGAGAGATGCGGGAAAAATCTTAAGTTTTAGTGCAATTATAGACTCAAGAAAGTTTTCCGAGTAATGGAGACAGGCTGCGCCGCCATTTCTCTTGTTGGCCCAGGTCATCGACCTCACCGTGTGTGATCGAGTAAAACCTCACTTTCACGTGCCCAGTTATGTCGCTCTCTCCGGGACATGTCACTCTCTCTACCGCAACATGCAGCAATTAGTAGTTTCTATTTAATCTAAAATCACTATTTCTATTCTAAGTCGCCACGACTCCCAATTATAAGAGAATTAATCTAATATTACATTTTGTTTGAGTGGCCCTAAATTCGAAAAGATTTCTTTTGAGGGCCTTCTGCCACTCGGTTTGAACCAGCCAATTATAATTCACATTTTTTTTTTCTTGAATTAGTAATTTAATTAAATCTACAATAATGGAACTAAAGTAAGAGCTAATGTTAAATTAAGTGCCTTCTATGTAAGGAACAAGTTGTCCACTGGGTTTATTTATACATTTTTTAAAGTCAGCCATTATTCCCAAATTTACTAGTAACTATGGAAGCTAGCCAAGCGCTACATTTGTTTCAGCCACTCCACCGAGAAGGATCGATCTTTCGTCGTTGGACTAAAAATCTGTGAGTTACTCTAAATGTTTATGGTCTTTAATTACTTTGGCTACTTTATAAAAAAATAAATCCCAGTAGTAACTGCCAATTTATTATTTTTTACAAGCACTTAATTTTTTATCTATTTTTTTAATATCCATTAAATAAGTAAACATATTAAATGTAAAGTAAAACTTAAAACCATTAGTATCCATTGGTACGATTCTTGAAGAACTTAAAAGATTAAATATTAAAATTGTTAAAGTTTATTTTTCTTCTAAAACCAGTAGTATTATGTTAAGTCCTTTTGAATTATTATATATACTCTTTATTATTAAACCCTTTGAATTGAATTTCGTATACCTGTAATTATTTCTGAAGATCAAGGATGGAAGGTTTATTTTCGTATTTAAAGAATAAAACCATGAATGTTTAAAACTTTAAGTGAGATTTTTGCCCTCAACAGATGTTTGCCCGGATGTAGGGTGTTAAAGGGATCACCAGAGCAATGCTCTAGCGGCCGGTGTTCATAGGTAGGGTGGGCAGTTCGCAAGCACAACAACACCAGTGCCTTGCCAAATGAATAGTCTTCTCCTTGTCTGTCCTTTCTTTCTGTCCTTCCGAATTTATTCCTCCGAACTCTTCCGGTTCAGTCCTCCATTCTTTTAGTTTGTCGCAAGCACGCTCAATTCTGGATTTAATAGTAATAATGTGTAGTGAGTGATAGAGTCCGTCCAAGCAAGACCACCACCCCCAAAGCCGACGAGCAGAAGCCGGACCTTATAGCGTGCCCCGCTAGCACAGGCTCTTTGAATCCGTTCACACCGTACCGTTGCACATTACACCCTCCAGACGACTAAAGGGATCCAAGCAGCTTGCACCTCGGCTCTCAAAGCTCGAGGCATCGACGCAGAAGGAGCCTACTTTGAAAGTAACGATTTTGATTAATTGTAAGATTGATTCAATAATTTTTAACGAATGGTATCAAAAATGGGACTGGCTTAAGTTGCGTAGCGTAACAATAAGAACAGCTTAGAAAAACATAAAGCTCAACATAAGATAAAGTGGCGTGAATATGACTACAATTATGTTACAATGGAGTGCTCAAAGATCATCCGCTTTTATAAAAGGTGTACGCAGATCTGTACATTCATAAGAGTTGCGCTACGTGCCTAAGAAGTAGAATCAAAACAAACTGAGAAAATATAAACTCGAATATAAGGGTGTCTCGTTGCCAAACAGGTATATAGACGAATCCCACGTATTATATGTAATACGAAATTCAGTATTAAACAGTTTTTAACCAACATAATTGAAACTATTCCTGAATATATAGTAAAGAAACGAACTAAAATGGGAATGGAACTTTGAAAGTACGAAGTTAAGCGAGTTAATGTTTTCAAACTGGGCTTCGGACGACAGAAGCTTATTTTTAAGGGGAGGGTAAGGTCAAATCATGCGAAAAAAGCCATGTTTTTGTGATTTTTTCCCTGACGACACAGTTAAAATTTATTTATTCAACCAACGGTATATTAAAGTATGACATTAGAAGAATGTTTAATAAAATTTTTACAAAAAAATATTTAAAAATATGGCAATGGTAGCAATTGTCCGGACGTGTCGCCAAAAAAAGTTGAATTGCGGTGCCCCTCATAACTCGGTGCTGGATCGTTTGTAATCAAAAAATGAAAATTCATTCGTTAGATAATAGTTCGCCCCAGGTAACGCTGTAAAGATTTTTTGAAAATTGCAATTTTTTAATTTTTTCGAAGACTTTGAAGTGAAAAACTCAATTTTTTGGGAAAAAATCGGTTAATTTGTCATTGCAAAATCAAAACTATGAACAAAAAAAAAAAAACTCGACAGCGTTACCTCGTAAAATATGTACAGAAATAGTGTTTAAAATTTTAAAAGGATCGGTGCAGTAGTTTTGAAGTTATGAGGGGCACCGACTTTGAAAACGTGAGTTGTGGGAAAAACGCTTTAAAGTTTTAAACACAAAAAAATCCAGTGTAAAACGTTAATAAGCAACTTCGTCAATAACTAATAACTTCGTCAATTTAATTGACTTGAAATTTTGACACAATATTCTTCAGATATTATGCATTCAATTTAAAAAAAAAAAAAAAAAAAAAATTTAATACCTTACCCTCCCCCCTTAACATCCTTTAATTTTGAATCCATTGTTCCTATAGAAGCTCGAGGATATAGCCGTTCAATATGTCCCATAAATTTTGTATATGTTTAACAAATTTTCTGTATATTTTTTAATTAAAACATTGGGACGAAGAACAAAAGGCGTGGAAATATGTGCAGTCCATTAATCTTGAACCTTTAAGACATCTTTTGCGGAGGGAAATATTTACATATGTTATGAAGTCTTTACTTTAAATTAAAATTCAAATAAAATAAATTACTTTAATTTTGCATACCATAAATAACGTTGCTTGCTAAAATATAAAAATACTAAAAAAATAATAATATAAAAAATAAAAATATAAATTCCCCTTCTTTTTACACTATTACATACTTTCTAACATAGTTCCCTGACGAGGGTAAATCTCAACCGCGGCCGTGGAAACTTGCAAGAAATTTGTAAAAAAAAAACAGGGGAGTTTAGAATAACTAGAAGAGGTAGAAATTTTACACGTTACTTCTACCATTTGGAAGATTATGAGGATTCGGTACATCAAGTTGTCGTTTCTGGCAATAAGTAACATTAACAGTGTAGAATATATTTTTAGAGTTTTTCCATTTCATGTATGAATCATTTAAAAACTAAAACATCACAAAATGAATCTGGCTGATTCCTTCAACCCAATGATTACCATATAGCACGTTGCAATTTATTTAAATATTGAAATTATATGATGCTAAACAAGTTTGATTTATTAGGATCGATAAAAAGTAGTCATTTCTTTAATTTAAATATAAATGAATTATTGATTTAAGATTGCTTCGTAAATAAACATGCATTTTTATTAGAAAGTATAAACGCTTTTTAGAAATAATATTTCAATTGATTCATTGAATGTTATATTTCTAATAAAATTCTTTCTATTTAGAAACGGGTGTGCGACTTCGGAGGATTTATTTTGGAAGCTTGATGCTTTACAGTCTTTTATAAGAGATCTTCATTGGCCCGACGCTGATTTTCGACAACACTTGGAACAGCGATTAAAAATGATGGCAGTTGACATGATTGAACAATGCATCCATCGAACAGATTCATCCTTTCAGTCATGGTTAAAAAAAAATATTGCTTTTATATCAACTGATTATATTATACCTTCTGAAATGTGCGCTATGGTCAATGTGATATTAGATGCTAAAAACCAAAGCTTTAAATTAACTACTATTGATGGCATTGATTTGGTAAGTCGTTAAGTTTTACTGCAACTTAAATACTAATCCATTTATGGAATATAATATTTTTTATGTCTAGTACAAATTCCATGCAAAAATTGATGATCAAATTGACAAAGCGAATGTAGCGATGACACAAGGTCTAAGCGGTAAACTTATGTCAGTGCTAGAGTCGACTTTGTCAAAACTAGCTCGATACGACGAAGGTAGCCTAATAGGATCAATTCTTAGTTTTACAAATGTTTCGAGCTCGGGAAAAGATCTTGGACAAGGATATGTGAATTTCTTTCGAAATAACATGGATCAAATACGTGGAAAGATTGGAGATGATTTATGGACACTTAATTTTTTTGAACAATGGTATTCACAACAGATTAGTATGCTCTGTAATTGGTTATCGGAACGTTTAGATCATGCCTTACACTATGCCCAAGTGTCATCTATATCTCACATCGTTAAGGTATGTATTAGGCAACAAATAACCAATAGTATAGTTTAATGCTGAGATTAAAAAATAATTCTGAAAGGTTTTGTATTTATTAGTTCATTCGTCAAAAACCGTTTGACATCTCCAGTGGCAGTCTCCAGACTAAACATTTTTTTTATAACATTCTATTCTTGAGTACGCGGTGATTGTCACCTCAAACATCCGGTATTTCAGACTTCGGAAATTTCTCTGCCTGAGCTCAGCCGCACACACACAATGTAAACGTTTAAAACGTCATGCTCGCACCCTACTTTATTTGTTTTCCAAGTATCCAAAATTTGAAAAACATCGATGTGTTTAAACCTCTATTATTTATGAAATAATTTCCTTCTGAACACACTTTAATTTTACATTTCAAAAATTGGAATAGTCCCTGCCATATTTATCATTTTGAGGGTTTGTGTTCGAAAGCTAGGTTTGTCGATAAATTTTATAATCTTCTCAAATTTTTGACTTCAATTGGCTCCAAAATCTGCGATTGCGAAAATAAAAGGCGTATTTGTATGTCTCAAAATTCACTTCGTAAATGTAAACACCGGAGCCTGCCTGAAAGGTTTATTAAAACACGAAACCGGGCATAAGTTAGAATTTAAATATATTGGACCATATGCAATAGACAAAATACAATATAGCAAACAACATTGAAAATAAGAAGCAAGTAGTTCATAAAGATAGATTAAAAATTTTTAAGTCATAATCCTTAGTGTGGCCAAGCATAAGCAAAGAACAAACAATATTTTCATACATAATGAATCTTCCCTGACTCAAAAGAAAATTCAAAAATCAATAGAAAAGTTAAAAGAAAAATAAAAAAAATATATTTATACGTATATATGTATATACAAAAATAAAACAAAAATCATAAAAAACTCCATAATATTACGTTATTCTTCAAAAGAAGGAAGATGTAATATGCACATATCACTGTACCGAGTACACTGCACCGAAATAAAGCTATAGAAAACATAGTGGTATTGTTGGGTTTATTGGGTATAGATATAAGCCCAAAATTTCCCAACATTATGCAATGATCGAAATACGAACCACTTAAGTATGCCTAGGTAGCCAAAGTAAAAATGCAAGTGTCAGCGGTTCTCATGCAGTGACCCTCGGATATACACACATATGTGCATAAGGGGCCGTCCATATATTGCGTGACGCGAATTTCAGACTTTTTTGACCCCCTCCCCCCCCTGCGTGACAAACCATGACGCGAGGTTAGACCCCCGTGACCACAAACCGTGACGTTAACCCGAACCCCCTCCCCCCCCAGGCGCGTCACGCAATATATGGACGGCCCCTAACACTCTTCGTACGCGGCAACGTGTCCGTTGCTTTATATCAGTGGTCGGCATTAAATACATTGATATGATAGTAATGCATTGTAATAATTGCTTGAAGGTACGTTACAGACGGAAAATTTAATCGGGAAGCGTCCATGTCTAACCCAGCTGATATTCTAAAGCAGTGAAGCTCATCCCATTGCTCTTGCTGCTCATTTGTTTTTGCAAATGCTCATGCATGCGTGACTGCTCACGCCATAAGGTTCCGTAGCTCACGCCATAACCTTCGTTGGTCCAAGGCAAAGGGCAATTACAATTTTTTGTGTTTTCCCTATTCTCCTCAATCGGGATCCGAATGCATTTTGTTGTTGGAGTGCCAAAAAATTTTTTACTGCAAGAAATTCATTCTTGTTATTGTTTCTGCCAAATTGGTCGACCTGAAGCGATAAATTTCTTCATCGCCGAATCTTTTTTTTTTAAGTAAGAAGCTCTGCATAATTTGTCATAGTATAATAATAAGCTGTTGTATTTTTTATTATATTGATATTTTAAAACCCCTTGTGAATGTTACTATAATTATACCCTTGCAGAGGGTATTATAATTTTGGTCAAAAGTGTGCAACGCAGTGAAGGAGACATCTCCGACCCTATAAAGTATATATATTCTTGATCAGGATCACCTCCTGAGTTGATATGAGCATGTCCGTCTGTCCGTCTGTCCGTCTGTCCGTCTGTCTGTCTGTTTCTACGCGAACTAGTCTCTCAGTTTTAAAGCTATCGTCTTGAAACTTTGCACACACCCTTCTTTCCTTTGCACGCAGTATATAAGTCGGAATGACCGGGATCGGCCGACTATATCCTATAGCTGCCATATAACTGATTGATCGGAAATGGTATAACTTTGGTGTTTTAAGAGTTAGAGAATTCAAATTTGACACGAGAGCTATTTTTGGCAAACCATTACGACATGCCAAATTTCATAAGGATCGGCCGGCTATATCCTATAGCTGTCATATAACTGGACGATCGGAAATGACCCAACTTTCGTGTTGAAGATAGAAAGCTGCAACTTGGTACAGATTATATATTTGGTCAGTTGATCCGACCTACCAAATTTCATTAGGATCGGCCGACTATATCCTATAGCTGCCATATAACTGAACGATCGGATATGGTACTTGGAAGAAATATCAACTTTCGTATTTTTGAAGATAGAAGTTTGGGACTTTTTTTAGATTTTGTATTGTAAAAAATTGGATTATATATTCCTATTCCTATTAGGATCGGCCAACTATATCCGATGTTTGCGATATATATCCGGTTTTAACTGCAAGGGTATATAAACTTCGGCTCCGCCCGAAGTTAGCTTTCCTTTCTTGTTTTTTTTTTCAGTGCACCCATATGGATGGAAAAAAAATTCTCGCACCAATATATTGATGATTTTTTCCATTGGTATGGGAGTTTGCTCTCCCGTATGCAAAGCTTGGGCATCACTGTTCTAAAGCTCCCGAACAAATAATATCATCCTATAGTACCGGTCTTGTTTGCTCGGGTGGTTCGCTGTAAAGTTGTTTGTGGATCTCTTGAGCTGCAAAGCACACAATTTTAGATAGGATCCGTTACATAAGTAGAGCTGCATACACACAAAGCCTTAAATTAGAATCTTAGATGTTATTTATCTCCGTCTGTCTTTATCTACCCAACCTAGGATCTTCTATTGCAGATTATGTATTGAATTGCAATCGATTGCAATCTATTAATTACATATATTCACCGGAATTATAATACCTCTATTCTTCCATGTTCAACATTATTATTAAGTTTTTTTTTCCCCGTTAACATAGCGGGTACTGGCGATGATTAACTCTTAGAATCATCTTAATTAAGACCATTAACCAACTAAGCAAAGAAACTTAAGACTAAATGAGTTCAAACTTGTGTAGTTTTCATAATCCTTCATCTTCCTGCGTTGAAAAGTCTAGTGAAAATACCCGTCCTTAATCCGTTTTTGTTTAGGATGCCTATCCTGGAGGGCGGAAAATATTTAACCAAGGCGGATTAGACTGGAGGTAGCCCAAAGTCTTTCTTGACCAGGCACGCGGAATGACGGCGTCAGCTTTATGCCTGTATCTTAAATTAAAAAAAGGGTTTTTTCCCTTGGAAACTAACCACGGGTTATTCCTGTAAGCGAACATACTTATCCGGGCACTGTGGTGGTTACAATTTCTATTTACCTACTCGCACTCCTAATGATCAGGGATCCTATCACCAAAGATTATAAACTACATAGATGGGACATCAGGGCCCCAAACGGTCAACTTTTTTCGTCGAGCTTGTTGGTGAGGGTGGAACGCACATGCATACGATTCTATTTTTAGAACTCTTTACATGTATCCGTCAACAAAAATGTGAACCTATGTATGTATGTGTGACTGCTCGCACGACGGAGTAAAAATGTTTTGGCTTCCAAATTTAAATTTAAATTTCTCGTTTCTGTTTCCGATGCGCCGATGTGGTAGTTCGTAGAACAAATAGTATTTTTAATCGCCCCAGATCGAGACAGGATGGTAGCGTAATGCACAGAATAGTTACTCTATGTCTAATTTTTCTGTGTTCAAATCCTCGTAAGGCCTTGATTTTTCTTTCTTTTATAATTATTATTTTTTTTTATTTTTCTTTAATTGTAATATTTTTCTTTTATTTTACAATTGTAAAATTGTTTTATTCTTCATTATGTTCCGCTAATAAAATGCTAATAAAATTTCAAGGGTGTCCTTCCGGAATTTTGTCTTCCGACACGCCCGTCATTTACTTTTATTTAAACTTTTATTACTTTTATTTATTTAAAACTTTTATGCTTTTATTTTATTTAAAATTTAAAATAATAATAATAAGGTAAAAATGAAAAGTAAAAAAAAAAGTAAAAAAAAAAGTAAATGTAAAAAGAATCATAAAACTAAAACTTTCTTAAATTTGAAACAACCGCCCGCTAATGAAATCGAACCCAGGACCCCAAGATTAAGGAGCGAGCACAATCCATCTAGGCTACCCTCGAAATTGATCTGATACTTAAAATTGGTGTTAAAGGAAGCGCTAGAATCCATACCAAAAACAAAGCTTAAAAGGATGGATAGTACATAAAAGATATTTCTGATCTCTTTGCTCTCACACTGGTTCGATTTGAACGTTTCAAACTTTCATCGTTCCAAAGATGTTACGATCTAAAAATAGAATTCTCTCTTTCCCTCTCTCATCTGCCTGCCGTTTGTCGTAGAACCCGCTCTCAAATGTTTTCATTTTTACAGCGGGTTCCATGACTCGGCCTGTCAATATGCCGCAGAACCCGCACTTATAAAGATTTTTACAGCGGACGAACTTACGAACTAAGGCGATTTAAAGGTGATTTTAAAATTTTTTATTTTTCTTTATTGGATTATAAATTTTGAAAAAAAGTTTGAAACAATAAAAGTATAATATAAATAGATTTAAAATAAAACAAGAAAGGAAAGCTAACTTCGGGCGGAGCCGAAGTTTATATACCCTTGCAGTTAAAACCGGATATATATCGCAAACATCGGATATAGTTGGCCGATCCTTATGGGAATAGGAAAATATAATCCAATTTATTACAATACAAAATCTAAAAAAAGTCCCAAACTTCTATCTTCAAAAATACGAAAGTTGATATTT